AGCTGAAGGGAGAGAGACGGGGCGCGGAGCCCCAACGAGCAGGGGATCAGCCGCCGCCCGTGGAGTAGGGGACGCCGCCGAGTGGAGGCAGAGCAGGCTGCGAGCAGCGTGGCAGAGTAGGCTGCGAGCAGCGAGGTGGAGCACCCGCAGAGTGCGGGACGACGCCGAGCAGAGGCGGAGCAGGCTGCGAGCAGCGCGGCAGAGCAGGCTGCGAGCAGCGCGGCAGAGCACCTGCGGAGTGCGGGACAGTGGGGCCAGCTGTACTCCGCACTACAGAGCCGACGGCACGGGTAACTGCGGCAAGAACTATTGGGGGAGCAGAGTGGACATCTGCATCCCAAGGAAGGCGGGATCAGGTCAGCATCCCTATGGGGAGAGGCACGCCCGGTCCGAAGACCGCTGGTAGTCACCAGCGGGACTGAACTGAGAGAGGGCGAGACGAGGACAGATTGGGGGCCAGGATAGGAAGACCTGAGGGGGCGTATGGCCGGGGTGTAGGGGAGGACGGAGCCCTGAGAGTACCCGTGAAGAAGCGCGCCAGCACTGGGGGATGCCCCGAGGGAAGACCCCCCACTGAAAGAGTCATCAAAGCCGTGGCAGACGAGTTCTGGGGTCTCCCTTTATACCAGGCGGGGCAAATCCTGGGGTGTACCAATGAAGTCCGGGTGTGCAAGATATCGGGTCCGGGCGAAGGCGGCACGCGAACTCCTAGTGGAACGGAGGTGGGTACAATCAGCAACTTGAAAGATGGGATAGAGTACACCCTCAGTAAGTTTCCAGGTGACACCAAGATGGTGGGAGATGCGATGGAGGTTAGGACTAGGATTAAGAGGGTTTGTTGTGTTTCCAATCCAGCCTTTCTATATGTTCTGTTCCCAATATTCTGCACAGACCACTGTTTCTGGTGTTGATGCTGCCAGATCTTGTGGGGTGCACTGTGGTGCTACATCTTGGGAGATGATCCATGGTTTGCTTCTCCTGACAAACACATTGGTTGTTTGTATAGAGGTCCCATGATTTCATAAGAAAGTTTCAAGTGTGTCACAAGTGTATCACAGGATTTATCTACATGAGATGCTTTACTGCACGGTAGACTAATCTACTACGTAAAGTGTCACTATTTGACTGTGTGCTAGGCTATTGCACAGTAAAATAGGCTAACGAGCAGTCATCTACTACCTGAAAATACAGGTAGTAGATTAACTGTGCATTAGCTACTGTGTAGGCTGGAAGCAATTTGCTCCCATGCCCAGACAGACCTAGACAAATTGGAAGATCGGATCAAAAGAAATCTCATGAGGTTCAATAGGGAGAAGTGCAAAATCCTGCACTTAGGATGGAACAATCCCAGGCAGTGATACAGGATGGGGACTGACTGGCTAAACATTAAATTAAATAGCAGCCTTCAGCTATCTGAAGGGGGGTTCCAAAGAGGAGCGAGCTAGACTGCTCTCAGTAGTGGCAGATGACAGAACAAGGAGCAATGGTCTCAAGTTGCAGCAAGGGAAGTTTAGGTTATATTTTAGGAAAATCTCCCTCACTAGGAGGGTAGTAAAGCACTAGAACAGGTTACCCAGAAAGGCTATGTAAACTTTATCTTTGGAGGTTCTTAACACCTGGCTAGGCGAACCCTTGACTGGCATGATATAGTTGGGGATGGTCTTGCTTTGGGAAGGGGATTGGTCACTAGATGACCTCCTGAGGTCCCTTCCAACCCTAATTTTCTATGATTCTATGAATTGGTCTTTAATTGTGTGATCATTTAATTGTTAAAACAGCATTAGGAGATCTCAAATGCCTCACTAAATATTCTGTTTTTATAAGTTGTTTTGTCTTTTATTCTAATCTACTCTGACCCATATGGTGAAGATAAACAAACAAACAGAATTGTGTTTAGCATGCTTGATATATGTAATAGAAGAGCATTACACTATTAATGCTATAGTGATATTACTGTGTACTATGAATTGTAAATAGTAATAAAACCAAAATTATTTCAACTCTGATTCTGACTAGAATCTAAGGCATCCAAATGAGTCTTAGATGACGTATGAAGTCCACTGGATGATGTATGAAACCACTGGACTTCAAACATACATACTAAAGTGATCTGGAATGAGCACAGGAAACTGTTAAATCAGTGTACTTGTTGGAGAAGGGAATGTCAGAACTCTTTGCTAATTCTCCTGAGGCACTAGCAGCTATGTTAATCATTAATGAGACCATCCCTTTCTAGAGTGAACCCAAAGATCATGAGTTCATTCATATCTAATCAAGTCACTGGAAAAGAATACATACAACAAGGATGAGACAATGCAATACAATATTGTATCTGTGACATACATATGCCTTGAGGAGAAAACACATTGAACTCGGAAGGTTATTAAGAGACATCTAATGTGTGCACTGTTTGTCAAGCCTGTACTGGGCTTATGGAAACTTTGCACACAATTCCTTAAGTAACTTATGAATCCATTCCTAAGCCAACTATTTTCAATATTTGGAGCAGTGATTTTCATTGACTAAATTAAAATCCTTAGACTGATCCATGTAAATGGTAATACAGCCATAATGCGTTGCTTGCTTTTTATTAGTAACAATAGGGCTAAATGAAGTCTTCC